CCAGCCGCCCATGGCCACCCCCATCCCATCCATCCATGACCATCCCATCCCATCTACACCCACCACCTCATGTCCCATCCATGCCCACCTGAGTATCCGTGCCCACCCTGTGTCCCATCCACCCATGACCACCCCATGTCCCATCTACATTCACCATCCCATGTCCTATCCATGCCCACGTAGGTTCCATTCATGCCCACCCCGTGTCCCATCCATCCTGTTTTCCATCCATCTATGTTCTTGTCATGCCACATCTACATCCACCATTCCATGTCCCATCAATGCCCACCTAGGTCCCATTCATGCCCACCCTGTTTTCCATCCACCCATGACCATCCCATATCCCATCTATCCATGACCACCCCATGTCCCATCTGCATCCACCATTCCATGTCCCACCCATGCCCACCTAGGTCCCATTCATGCCCACCCTGTGTCCCATCCATCCATGACTATCCCATGTCCCATCCATCCAGGACTTATCCATTTCCCATCTACATCTACCATTCTATGTCCCATCCATGCCCTATTGGTCACATTCGTACTCGCCCCATATCCCATCCATCCATGACCACCTTGTGTCTCATCCATCCATGCCCATGACATGTCCCATGGGTGCCCACCGCATGTTCCATCCATCCATGGCTACCTCCTGCCCACCCTGTGTCCTGCCGCTCTATGCCCACCCTGTGCACTGTCCATGACCACCCTGTGCCCACCCCATGAACCATCCCGTGCTCCATCTGTGACCAGTGTGACTCCCATCCATGCCCATCCCATGTCCCATCCATGCCCATCCCATGTCCCATCCATCAATGCCCCTCCCACGTCCCATCTATTACCACTCCGTATCCCATCCACGCTCACCCCATGACCCATCGATCCATGACCCCCTCGTGTCCCATCCACCCATGCCCTCCCCACCCCCGTTCCCCTGGGATGTCCCCTACCGAGGTAGATGTCGCCCTCGGTGTTGGCCATGATCTTGGTGCCTGGTGACTCCCCGTGCACGGGCTCCTCACCGTCCACCTGCAGCCCCCCGCGGCGTCCCTCCCTGCAGGGACACCCGTCGTTGGCCGCGCTGCCACCACGGCACCATCCCTGTCCCCGCGTGCCCCGTTCCTCACCTGGTGGCTGTCACTCGGTGCCACTCGCCATCATTGATGGGGTCTTCGGAGACGATGGTGGCCTCGCCACTGCCCAGCTGGTAGCTGCAAGAGCGCGGAGGGCTGAGCGCGGGGACGGGGGCAGCAGGGCGGCACCGCGGGGCGCCCGCTCACCTGAACACCAGGTGCCCGTCCTTGAGACCCAGCCCAAGGAAGTCCTTGGCTTTGCCGCCTTCTCCGGGCTCCTGTGGGCACAGCAGGGCCAATCACAACAGGGACAACGGGGACGATGGGGACGACGGACAGCCCCGCGGCGCCGCACTCACCGCGCCGTGCCAGAGCAGCAGCCCGTGGGCGCTGCCTGTGCGCACCTCCAGCTCGAGCGTCTCGGGCGCTCCGGGCTCACTGCAATGAGAGCGGGGGCATCACGGGACGCGCCAGCGC